ATACTTTCAGTTCAGTGCATTGCATATTCTAGTAACTAAACAACAATATGCTTAATGCTTCAAAGTGGCTTTCCAGCTGCTAGCCAAAATTGTAGAATAATTAACAGGTGCCAAAGGATTAATAAAAGGAGTAGCATAATTAATAGACACTATACAGAAAAAAATGAATCCCTGGCAATCCCAAGTGTTGTTGTTTCCTCCACCTTCTCTTAATTGTTTCCTGCATTCCTTTAATAAGAAAAAAAAAAAGAAAACTAGTGCCCTTAAAACACAAATGATACATATAAGCAACAATGCATGATCAGAAGAAAGAAACTGGCAACAAACTGCCTTCAGGTCTAATAAATGCCTTAGTTTAAAGAAACTGCCCAACTACCTGTCCTACCCTACTACTCATGTCCACACAGAACTTTATTGCACTATTTGGTACAGCCAAGGTCACAAAGATGCCAAACCAACACAGAAGCACTGGACTAGTTCTCATCAAATCAGAGTATCAAATAATAACACAAATAATGCAGAAAAATTCCTATGAAACACCTACTAAAAACTTAAAGGCCTTTAATAGAATCTTTGCAGAAAACTAAACAAATTTCCTTTCTGTCCTTAATGAGGGAAGTAAACAGACCATAATAACACAGGACAGAGAGATACCAAAATAAAAAATGTGATCTCATGAGGTGTATGTGACCAGGCCTGCATTCTATGAAGTTTATCCAAATCAGCTGTGACCTGGAACTTATCACACACTGGGAAACCAAAGACCAGAACCCAAGCCTACACTGGAAACAAAAAGCCCTCAGATGATTTTACAAACAGTTCTTTAGCTTTCCCTACCACCACTACACCCCAAAGTGAGTGGAGCCAAGACAACACTGCAGCCCCAAAGTAAAAGTTCTCCCCTATGAGGAGATGCATGTACTGTGACATCTCAAATGTATCACTGCACTCTGAATATCAGTGCAGACTGTTGGGGGTTCACAAAAAAGGCAACAGCAAGAAAAATTAGTTTTGCCAAGAATAATTGCTTTGTGTGCACAGAAAAGTATATTCAGAGTGTCTTACTATGACAATGGGCTGCAGGCATGTGAAGGATGTCAACATTAAGGAGAGAAGAGTAATAAGTTCAGAGGAACAAATGAACTCGTTTTTATGTTTGTATCAAGAGAAAACTCTGAAATCTTTGCCCATGAGATCACTCTCCCTAAACAAACACACACATGTTCCCAAGAGAAGATGCCCTTCAGAGATAAAAATCAAACTGTACAAATCAACATAAGCATGCAAGGGGGAATGATGTTGCACAGGACCAGAGCATGCAACAAATCCTTTCTCAGCACTGGGATTTCTTCTGTCTCTCTTTTTGAAGAAGTTTTATATTGAAGGAAACAAAAGAAAACCATGAAGCCCATAGCACATATTTACAGTTGCTGTTTTAGCAGGCAGACCACCTTATTTTAAACTTGTGTATTACAAAAAAGAAAAAAAGTTGTTTTCTCCATAATTCAAAGCATATTAATAGACAGAAAAAAGGGTTGTAATATCCATCTCTTACATGCTGTATCCTCTATCCAGTTCCAAGAGCTGCTTATTACAAGGCCATAGCATAAAATAAGTAGCTAATAACATTTTACCAGATGGGACACAGAATAAAATGAAATTTTAAAAAACACAGACCCTCACCACAAAACCCCACTAACCTTCTCTGTGGCAAAATGGAGTGTTTCCCCATGGATAAGGGGTATGTAAATAGTTCCAGAAGACTTCCACCTATTTCTAATTTTTCAGTGTCACAATACCTGGGCAGTTTCTGTATTATGGATGAAATCAGCACAGCCTACCTGAGGCTCATTTGCTCACTAAGCAGTGAGAAATAATTTATCACAGCAAAGGAAACTGCTTTACTTATTGCTCTGATACTTTTGCTTGGTGCTCCCAGAGAGATCTGGAACATTAAAAACAGTAACATTGCTTATCAGAAGGCATAAAACTGCCTGAATCCAGAGAGTGCTGTACATGTTCCATGTGAAACATTTGTTTCTAGGTCTGCCTTTGGGTCACCTGCACCTATGGCACAGGCAGATGAAGATGTGTGGGGTGGGACTGAACCATCAGAATGTCCTGGAAACAGGAGGAGTGCAGGCCTGACAACCTTTGCATTGGATCTGTGTGTGTGAGTGGAGGAATTGACCACATCTCCCATTAACAAAAACAACTGTAGGGATGGAACATAACAAAATTTCAGACCTAAAAAATCCTTGGACTTTGCAAATCTAAACCCAACCTTTACATGCAACCTGAACTAGAAATTAGTTACTTTGCCTGACTTCTAGGGCAGTTTGGATTTAAGATCAAAGCTGTACCTCAGACACATCTCTAAAAATAAACAAATAAACAAAAAATAAATGAGAGGAGTCCATGCAGGAACTGAAAAACCCTGTATTAATACCTCTTAAAACCTCATGACACGAAATCCAAAAGGAACTGAGTTATTTCTATACACAGTATTAGCAAGACTTCTGGAATATCACCTTCACTTCTGTTGTCTTCAATTTAAGAGAGATGTCTGAAGTGGCAGTCAGTTCACAGAGGTGATATAAACAGAATTTGAAATCTGAAAGCTTTACAGGAAGACTGATAGCCTTAAGAACCTCTCCTTCCTCTACAGTTTAGTCAAGAAAAGGTTAAGAAGTGACAATCTAAAAGCACCTATATCAGGAGGAGTCTTTTGACAATATTTAGCAGGAAAGGCGATAATGAGATCTAATAGTTGGAAACTGAAGCTGACTAATTCAAACTATAAATAGGACACTTAAAAAAAAGCAAATAAGGAGATAATTAAGCATTAAAAGAACATCTAGAGACCTTATATCCTCCTCATCACTTAAGATTTTTACATGAAGAGCAGAAATCTTTCTGCACATGTTGTAGCTCAGTTGCTGGACCTAAACACAGCAGTTACTGCATGAAGTTTTGTAACAAGAGATACAGAGATTATAAATCAACAGAGATTGTTTGAGAAATTCACAATGTCTGCTCCTGGCCTAGCTATGAAGCTATGAGTGGTTTTAACAGTGTTTGGGTGGTCTGTTGATTGACAACAGTGTTTTGTGTCAATACTGACTGCACACCGAGCTACAAAATACTACACTGCCACTGACTACAATTAGTAAGGCTATGTAAATGTGTTCATGTTGTTTATGACCTCAGACACTAACTTTATGGAAGGCTATTTCACAGATATTTCATGATTAATCATCTGCGCTTTTACACTGCAACAAGTCAGACTGGTGTGGAAATACTGAAGGGAAAGAAGCCTTGCAAGTTTAAAAATGTGCCAACCAAAAGAACAGAAAAACCAAAACAAGAGTCAAGGTGAAAGGTTGGATCACATTCTAAAAATACTGTGAGAGAAGTCTTCACTGAGAGGAAGCTGCATAAATCCAACACTATCCAGCATGCTGGCTGGATGGGAAGGAAGCAGGTACAGGATGTACCACCACTGTCAGCATCAGGAGTCTCTGCCTCCCTGCCTTCTGCATCTGCCAGACACAGTGGGGAGGGCAGTAATAACTGGAAACCCAGCTGTGATCCTGGCTGTGCAGTGGACACACAGTGGCTCCCACAGCAGAAGTAAACAGCATCAAGTATTGCAGTGAGTTAAAAACCCACAAGATCTGGGGATGAACAGCACCAGTATGGAAAAGAACTGCTGGAGAAAAACTGCTTCTGTGTTGGTTTTTTTGTGCCTGCTTTGGGCAAAGCACAGAAATGCCCTGTGAATGTGGCAGCCAAGTCCTCCTCAGGCAGGGGAACAGCTGAGCAGCCACACACACATCCAGCCAGGCCTGGGAGCTCATGAATGCCCGGGCAGGGACCAGGCACAGTCAGAAACACTGCAGCAGCAGCAGCTCCCATTCCCACCAGGAAGCACAGAGAACTGGGCCACACAGGACATGTGACACAGCATGGGAACAGTGACCTTGGGGCAGAGTAACTCATGGGCAGCAAGGGAGCGAGCACAGGACTAGAGAAATGCTTTAAACACAGTCTGCACCCAGAAAAGGAGTGTGTGTGGAAGACAGCTGAAGACAGCAATGACAGTGTCTTGTGACAAACATGGACTTCCCCCTCTTCCCCCCGTAAAATCCCAAACCCGTTTGCCAGAGGGCAAAGCACAAAGTTTTGTTTGCTCCTGGCCCTCTTGTTCATTGTTGCTTAAGAACCCCAGGAATGTAACACCTGACAAAAGTTTACTTAAAATATCTTTATTTCCATCAGAACTGCTTCCCCTCCAAAAAGGAAAATTCCACTCTTCTTGTCCCCCTCCTAACTCACCTCTCACTGGCCAACAGTCCTTGGCCTTTCCTATTTGTCAAACATTAAATCACCTCAGCAAGGAAGTACCTGGCTCTGATCTTGCCCTCAGCTCCAGTTTTTGTTCCAATGTCAGTGCTATGTCCTTCCTCCTTTGCAGCATCCTTTTGTGCACAGCTAAGCTCACTCCTCCTCCTTTCCCACTGCCTCTGGCAGCAGTCATGCTCTACACTAGAGAGCCTGGGCATCACAAGTATTTGAGACCCCTCAGAACCTGAAAATAGCCACAGCACAAACGCATTCCACTTGCCACAGCTGGTGAAACTCTGACCTTGTGCTGCAGAACGTAACTGAGCCATTCCAATAAAGTGGAAGGAAACACAGCACTTCCCGTCAGAACAAACCCTCCACATTTGTGCCTGTCACAAAAAACAGCCCAAATTCTTGACAAGGACTGCAGGAGATGGGAGGGGAGATTCAGCATGCTGTATTTAAGAGTCATTTTCTTCAGTTAAAAACAACAGCCAGGAAAACCAAACCAGCTAAAGCTTATTAAAACAACAAAAAAAAAGTATAAAGCCAGGGACTTCCCTGCTCTCTTCCATAAAACCAGAAGCAACTCCTCACCCTGTCCCACCCCCTCCTCAGTGTAAGAGCTTAAGCAGCCTGGTGCTGACACTCACGCAGGTGTGCTGGCAGTCTGACGGTGTCGTCCTCCATCCTGATGGCCTGAGGCACTGGGACATGTAGTGGTGGCGAGGTGTAATTTGGTACCGGGCTCGCGGGAGGTGTGTACGAAATTCTTTCCTGCTGTTAAAAGAAAGTGGGGGGGGGGAGGGAGAGAAAGAGAGAGGACAACGTGAACTTTGGAACAGAGGTATGAAACCATGGCAGAGGAGGTGGACGTGGGTGGAAGGAAGGAAGTGTGTGCCTGGTGATGTGCACTAGTGGTGCACCAGCTGCCCAGGGAGCCCCACAGCACACACAGAACACTGGCAACCAGTGCTGAGAAGGGACTAAGAACCTTTCAGAGTGGCAGGATTACTTTTCAAGAAAGCCATGAAATTTCCAAGGGCCTTCTCAGAAATCTGCCAAGGGAGGAACGGGGAAGTGACATGCAAGTGGGGAGACTCCGAGGGCTTTTGTCAGTGAAAATCTGACAGCAAGTCCATGATACATGTGTGAGTACCACTGAAGTGCCAAAACCACTTAATCTTATGTTAACAAATCAGTCATGATCTGAACAAGCTAAGTGTTTAGCACTATACCCCTTCCTACCATTTTAAAGACATTAATCAGTAACTTTTGTCATTGCTGCAGAAAAACACATCACCAGACTACTCTATTTACCATCAAGTAACGTAGTACTCTTGTTTTTGCTAAGCAAGTTACTATTACCTTCTTTGAAGCAGTTTAACTTGCAACCAAGTACAGTCAAATTGAGCTAAAGAGCAACTTGTGAATGTTGTATTAGTTTCATAACTGTCACAATTAGGTTCTTACCTAGGAAAATGCCTGACGAGAAATCTAAGACTGAAACTTCACGTTATCTGAAGGGAAAATTCTTCCATATTCTAAGCCTCCAATCATAGTACAAAATATACCTTTTGTAAATAAACATAGCCATAATTTTACAGAAACATAAAAACTATTATTATATGCTTCCTGGAAGGTAATGCACATTATTCTCCAGAACACTGACACACCAGTGCAAGAATGGATTTACATCCTGCACACACAGAAGCAGGAGGAGGTACTGTAATTTCTGATTGCAGGACAGTACGAGTGCAGGCTCTCACCCTGACCTTGATCTCCGGCAAACGGAAAAGACAAATTTGGTGCTGAACCAAGAGAAGGTAATTGCTACCATGACAAACCACAGCATTATCACAGCCATGAGACAGGAAAATAGACTGAGGCTGATAGAGGCACCTGCAGAATGTAATGTAAGCACCCTTGCCACCAAAGGGAAGGAAAGGTTTGCAAAACCCTCTGCAGATTAGGTGACATCCAAAAATAAAGGGAACACCTAGAAAGTCGTGCAGCCACTGCTTCAAAGCGAGCCCAATTCATTCTCTTTGCAAGGTGCTGTTTGCTGCTCAGAAGCTCAGGTAGAACCAGAAGTTTACCCTCAACATCAGGAGTGCCACCACAACAGCCTATAACCACATGGCAGAGAAGACTGACAGCATGTGGAGAACACACTATTACAGGTTTAGACAGAGTGAGAAGACAAGCTTGTTTCACTCCACCATCACTTGGTTATTTCTGCAAGTATGGCCCCTATGTCTGTCAGCTCAGTACTTTTTAAAGAGAAATTGTTCAATCTTATGTTCCTGTCTCCCACAAACTCAGTTTCTTTCTACTCATCACTGGCCAGGCAACAGCAACCCATTAGCCAGCATGAATTCAGTTTTGTGCAGTTACCAAACAGGGATGGTCACTGTGATGCAATGAAAGATGCACCTGTGGCGCTACAAGGCATTATTTGATTTTTCAGCTTCCCCAACTCCCTCCCTGACCCAAAGTGGCTGACTCTGTGCTTCCTGTTGCAGAGGTGTGGCTCTCTGTGCCCATCTGCACCCCTGCCCCTGGAGGGCAGGGACACCTGGCACTTCCCAGCATTTCCTGCTGCCATCCACAGCACAGATATCGAACCACACTGCAGCTGCTCACTGTGTTCATGAGACATTCATAAAAAGAGAAACTCTCTGAAACACAGCCACACAGATGCTGCCTCTGTTAATGGGCACTGGGGGATAGGTGGGAGACCCAAAGTCCTTTTCCTCCCTCCTGAAGAATGCAGGATACAGTCCAAGCTCAGGTCACACTGCATGCTCACTGAATCACCACTGCAAAGACAAAGTGGCTTCAAAGGGTCTCCTCACTGCCCAAGAGCAGGTGGAAAATGAAATTAAATCCAGAACCCATCCATTTCCCTCAAGACCCAGGAGGAGCTGTATCAAAGCAAGGCATTATGCTTCCAGTATGTGCTGCCTTTACTGATCAATCTCCTAAAGGCATACCATAACTTGATTTATACCATGGCAGTTTCATTGAGGTTTACTGTTTTAAACAAATGCATTTGATTCATTGTTTCCTAGCATTCATAAGGACAGGACAGCCAAAACCAAACAAGATATGGAACTGCAGTTACTTTTCCCACACATCTTGGATGTCCACAGTACTGTGTGAATTACTATTGGCAGAAGGCATTTTACAAAGCACCAAGGGGAGCTAGCTATCCAATTCCTATTAGTGCCTTTGAAATGCCCTCTCTTGCTAATCCTGCATTTTTCTGTCAGCACCTTTAGCCTAAATATCAAAGCAATTTACAGACATTAGGTAAGTCTTTCTTTTTATTAGACACACAGACGACCTGAGTTACAGCAAGAGCAGAGCTCAAATGAGCTAAGTAATTTCAGAGTTAAGCTGTCTTGAAAAAGGACAGCATGTGCCTCTCAAGGGCAATACATTTGACAATTGCACGCTGAAAGAGCTGCCCTGGACAGATTTCCAAAAGGTGTGGAATGGTAATGGCACAGGGAGGTCAAGACACTGGGCTTGTGGAAAAAATTGAGCTTAATCCTGTTTGCAGCATGGGGCAGCAACGTGGCTGGCAGCAGAACTGCGAGCACCAGTCCAGTTCTACAGCCCGGCCCTGCTCAGGGCTCAGCCACAGGCAGCGCTCAGCCTGCACAAGGTCACATGTGCTCCTCCAGGCTCTCTGAGGCTCTCTGGAGTCACGTTTCCAGGAGGCACCTCCTGTGCTCACACCACTGAGAAGGGACTGCATTAATCCCCACAGCTCCAGGACTGCCCAGTGCTTCTCTCTGTAGAACCCACCAAACTAAAACGTGGCTGGTGTCTCATGCTTCTAAGGTTATGCAAGCAGATACTCTGCCACTAGGAATTTTTTATTGAAAGCATTTCCTAACTAGTCAAGCTTAGTATTTCCCTTTGTATTAAGGCCAAGAATGGTAGGCTTGTTCAAGCCACAGCTTGGGAGGAAGGATAGGTGGTGCTGGTAGAACCTGCATGAACCTTGCGTGTTCCTGAGCAAACAGCCTTGCTGCAGCTTAATGTACTGGTAAAAGAAACCAAATCAATACACATTTGATGTGGTCCTGTGAGATTTTTGGTGATGAGTGCTAAGAAAGAGCTTGGTACTACCGCATTCCTTATTCACCACCTGCCAGGGGACTCTATAAACACCTAAACCTACAAGGGACCAAACGCTCACCCCAAAGAATTACCAGCTAAGAAATTTCAAAATAACAACTCCTGAGCATTTTGCCAGTAGCCACAAAGAGGTGACTAAAACAGACGGCATATTGCTTGCTGTCATCATTTTTGATCAGTTTCTTCAGCACAAAGGGGTCAAGAAAGTTTCACCATGAAATTTCACGTTGCTTACAGTAACTGAGGAGCTACACTGAGTCAGTTTTCATGGAAAGCCCTTCCTGGGGTTTACTCTGATGGCTGGTGCTCCAACGGGGCCACCTGGACAAGCAGCCAGGTCTGCATTGAGCAGGACATGCTTTCACCTGCCCAACTGAGCAGGGACAGGCTGAAACACATGGCTAAAAATCAAGAGAACCTATGGGTTCTTTCTCTTTACTAAATATTCAGCTGCTGAGAATGCCACAGGTAAAGCCATCCTGTGTAAATCAAAAGCTGCACTCACTGTGACTATGTAGCAGGCATCTAACAGCTGACTGCACTCCCAAAGCCATCAAAGGACACACTGATTTCAGTCTGAAGAACTGGGGTGCATCCTTTACTGACAAAAACTACCTGAACAGAATTTTCTCTGTCAGGAACACAAGTAATTCATACTGCTAAAATAACAATATTAATGAAAAAAATCAAAGTTACAAAATTAAATTTAAAAAAAGTTTAACAGTTAAGGATGAGGAAGGCTGCAAATAAAAATAGCTTCAGGCTTTTGATATAATTGCACCCTTCTAAACTCCAAAGCAACAGCCTTGCAATCTGATAGTCTTTTTGTCCCTTTACTAAGTTCACTCATATGGCAGGCACAAAGAATATACATGTTTTTGCAGACATGAAAATAAAGTAGGTAAGAAAGTCTGCTAAGCATGCTCTTATGTTGTCCCACTGACATGATTATTTCAGTAGCTGGATAGGTGGCATAGTAAAATAATTTCTTTAATTGATAAAGCAAAGAAATGCAATACCTATGCAGCAGTTTTCAGGAAACCAAAACAGGCAATGTGGTCTGCAAATACCTTGTGCTGGACAGAAAAGGCAGCTGACCTTAATCACTGAATAAAAGCTTTCTCCTGTACTGCACATAATGATACCACACAGGGAGAGAGGAATTGAGAGTGAAAGCTGACACACATTTGTGTCCCAGGGTGCTGTGTTCCTGTGCCATGAAATGGAAAGCCAGGCCAAGGGACCAGGAGCCAGGGGCAGCCTGGGAGGGTCTGGTTTTCCCACTGTGGATCCCCACAGGAGTAGGTGGCTCAGGCAAAGCAGAGGGGGGAAAAGGGCCTTAAAGATAAGGGTGGTTGGAGGGAAATTATGTGTTTGCAGGAAAAATTCAGAAGGCCCTGAACATCTGGGCACCCAGCAGGACAATGACAGCAAACCAGCCACAGAGAAAATCAGCCAGAGATTCAAGTAAATCAATCCTCAGAGAAGCAAGTGAGGAGAAGAGGAAAGGGAAGGAAGACAGATGCACTGTTCACCAGTGGTTTGAGTGCAGTACCACAGCTGGATATGAAAGTCCAGAGACCACTGTGAGATGAGTTCCGTGGTCTAACTTAGGGAGCAGGAAGGAA